TTTTTTTTTTTTCTAATCTTTCTTTTAAATTATACCAAAATTACAAACTTAAGTTACAAATATATTTCAAAGTTAATAATTTATTATTTATTAACAAATTTTATATATAATATATCACATTAATCATGTCTTCATGAGTTTCAATTTGGCATCTATATTATACATACAAAATAAATAAATAAATTTATTTATCTTTATAATTAAAATTAAATTGCTTATAAATATTAATTTAAAAAATAAAAATATTTAAACTAACTTAATTACAAAGTAGTTACTTGATATAAATTAAAAAGATTATAAGATGATAAATTTGTAAGTGACGGTGTCATTTTAAATATATATATTAAAAGTATTTAAAAATTAAAATATTTTTTGTTGTTATTATTATTTAGTTAAATATAATTTTCTTAATAAGCACCCGTGCAGTATACGGGTATTGTACTAGTTTGCTATTAAAACACAAATAAAACACCTCGTCATCATTTTATAAAACTGACTAAAATAAACGAAAAAATATATATCAAACTACGATAAACGGGCATAAAAATCACTGTAAAATGCATGTAAAAATGATGTATGTCATTGACTCATTTAATAAACTTTACAACGTAGACCGAAACCCAAAACTCTTACCGAGTTGATCCCTAACACTCTCAACTCGACTTGTTTGATAGAAAAACTCAATTAGTTGCTTGATCTGAGCTCGTGCAAATATACAAGCTAGTCGAGCTTGAGGTTTCACATGTCAAACAAAACTTTGTAACATGACAACTCAATTCAAATAACATCAGTACATTTTGCAGCCCCAAGTGAAAATAATTTCTGACTACGCCCCTGTATAAGAATATATATAGTTACTCATCATTGCCCAACATCAGAAAAGAATTACCGCATGAGAATTTTAGAGAGTAGGAAAGTGGAAGATTAATTAATAAATGGCAGGATATTGATTATTGAAGGTGCCTCCTCTTAATTAAAAGTTTGTATGATTGCATACAGTACAAAGAGTATTGGGGTAGTTGGTTTGCTTTAATTTCTTAATGAAATGTCATCTCTTAAGTTTTCGCTTTTTTTTTTTTATTAATGGTTATTATTATTATTATTTTTTTATGTATATACCACTACAAGAAAATGATGCAATTCCAACAAAAAATTCTAATGGAAATATACTTCAGTGGAATTCCAACGACAATTCCAATGGATATTGCAATGCAATTATTTTAGTTAAAATTTTTCAATGGATTCCAACAGATATTGCAACAAAAATTTTGCATTGAAATGAGTTTTCTATTGCTATTTCCGTTGGATTTTGATAATTTCGACGGTTGAAATGTAGGCGAAAATAAGAATTTCTACTGTAATTTTATATTCAAACGGAAATTCCTCGATAAAAAACTGTTGAAAAATAGACTATGGAATGATCAAACTCCATCTAAATTCCAATGGAAAACTCATTCTACCGGAATAATATCATTGGAATGTCTGTTGAATCATTCCAACCAAAAATATCCATTAAAATTTCAATTGAAATATATTACTGTAAAATTTTTTTTTAGAATATGATATTTTTTTAGTGACATTACACAAGAAAAAGATAATGTTCCAAATTCTCACAATTGTGCAGTAAAAAATAAAAATCATACGGAACGGAAGACTTAATATTAAATACAACACAAACAATAAAAACTAGGAAAATAATGATTGAATACAAAAGGTTATAAAAATTGCTTATTTGTGATGTGCCTTTCAAACAAAAATTTCATTATAAAGAAAAACAAAACAAAAAGTTACATAGTACAAAATAAAAAGTAATAAAAAAAAAAAAATCCTTTCTAGATCTTTTTTATGATGCAGCTCTCTTTTGATCTGTAAGAAAATCTATCAACCACGATCAGAGCTGTACAGTGTACTTAGCCGTTTGGTACATGGTATATTTTGATTACTTTCTTATATTAAAATAAAATAAGTCAAATAGAATCTTTCATTTTCTTATATTTAAGTAAAATAAGACAAACGATTTATTTATTTATATAAAAATAAAAAAAATTAAGTGGACATAAATAAAAAAAAAATAAAAGAAGTGGAAAAAAATCAAAAGCACGTATTCTCGGAATACGTTTTTTGTTAAAAAACGTATTCTGAGAATACGTGTTTTTTAAAAAAATTAATTAAGGTGATTATCGTAATTAAATTAATTAAAATAGGTTAAAAAACGTATTACCGAAATACGTTTTTCTGAAAAAATATTTAAAATTAATATTTTTAATTTTAAAAAACTAATTTTATTGGAAAATAATATTTGGAAAAGTAAAACGTATTCTCAAAATACGTTTTTTAACCAAATTTGCCCCAAATTGATTTCGCCCTAATTGTATCCCCAATTCGATTTTGACCTAATTTTGCACAGTACGAAAACGTATTCCCAGAATACGTTTTTTAACCAAATTTGCCCCAAATTGATTTCGCCCTAATTTTATCCCCAATTCGATTTTGACCTAATTTTGCACAGTACAAAAACGTATTCCCAGAATACGTTTTTTAACCAAATTTGCCCCAAATTGATTTCGCCCTAATTTTATCCCCAATTCGATTTTGACCTAATTTTGCACAGTAGAAAAACGTATTTTGAAAATACGTTTTACTGTGCAAATACAGCAATTCACAAGGACAAAATTACAAACACACACC